TAATTAGGAATAACTGAATCTAATCTCCAAATTTTTTACCTTTAAATTGTACTACTACTCAACATTTTTTTTGCCATAAGCAATTAAAGTGCTAATTTACTAATTTTTTATATGTAGACAAAATATTAACAGCTTGGAAGTTTAATATTAGTCTTTATTTGTTGCTATTACGTATTAGTAATATGAGGCTACAGATAGCTGTCAGTTTACTGGGGTATGTTCATTTCTCCTGCTTTGAATATCTGTGACCTATTCAAATACCTCCGTCTTCTTAATCCTTCCTTTAAAGGTTTTCAGTCAACTTACAAATGAGGCAGGGGCCATTTAGAAAAAATAATACATAATCACGTAATATAAGACTGTATCATACTGTATATGCACAAGGAGGCTGAATTAAGGTTGCATGGGCATTTCCTAAGTTTTGAGTACCTGATTTTGCAACCATAATATTTTTTTAAATATGGTTTAACATCCATTTTAGTAGCATAATTTACCTAGCATTTTGAAACAGCAAACTGAAAAACAGAAATTACATCATATGGACTTATACTGAGTCCTGTACAGTTCATTAGCAGGGTTGGATTCTTTAGATCAGGGATCGGCAACCTTTGGCACACAGCCCCTCAGGGAAATCCGCTGGTGGGCTGGGACAGTTTGTTTAGCTGCAGTGTCCGCAGGTTTGGCCGATCGCAGCTCCCACTGGCCACAGTTTGCCGTTCCAGGCCAACTGTGGCTGCGGGAAGCAGCGGCCAGCACATCCCTCGGCACACGCTTCTTCCCACAGCGTCCATTGGCCTGGAATGGCGAACCGTGGCCAGTGGGAGCTGTGATCAGCTGAAGCTGTGGACGCTGCATGTAAACAAACCGTCCCGGCCCCACCAGTGGATTTCCCTGACAGGTCGCATGCCAGAGTTTGCCAATCCCTGTTTTAGATCCACAACACGGACCTCTGCCACTTGAGCTAACAGAGTAACTGACAGAAGTAATAGGTTAGAGAGTCAAGGTGGATGAGGTAATGTCTTTTATTGGACCAACTTCTGTTGGTGAGAGAGACAAACTTTTGCAGGATCCCAGAGCTAACATCTACATAGCAATTAAACTGTCACCCAGCCTGAGCCCCATGAACCTGAGACAGCTGGCACTGGCCAGCAGTGGGTTTTTAATTATAGTGTAGAGATAACCTTACAGGTTCTGTAGGAGAATGTGCTGTTGTGGGCATGAACTCTTCTGCTGCTGTTCTCCAAGCCTGACCTCTTTTGCCTGTGTCCCCTCTAGCCTGTCCTTGTGCTAGTCCTGTCTCTCCACACCACCCAGGTCCCCATCCTAGTCCCCTCCCCGACTCCTTGTCCCAGTCCCCTCACCCAGCCAGTACTTTTCTCCCCCAAGTCCCAGTTTTGCTCCCATCTCAGTACTGTACCTGATGCAAGATTCCCTACTTGGGTCCCGCACACCAGTGTTCTTTCTTAACCAGTCTCTATTTCCCCTCAGAGCCATGTCCTAGCTCCTTCTCCCTAATCCCTCTGGCTCTGGCTCCCTTTCCCAATTTTTCCCCCCTCCAGGAGCTGCAGCACAGATTTTATCCTCAGAAATCCAAGTGGTTTTGTCATGTGAAATGTCATTAGAAGATGAGGACTTTTAGGACATGTCTTGAGGGCTGCAAGATCTTAAGAACCATGACACAAAAACTGCTTAATTGGTCAGGAGTTTCTGTGTTGAGCAGTCTGAGGCAGTCCCTTTATCTACACAAAGATTACATTAATGTTGAAAGGAACAGATAATTTAAGAGATAAGAGTCTGACTTGTTGCTTCTGCAACACACATGGAGTTAGAGTGCTAGGAAATCTACAGTCTTAAGTGAATTGACTTAAGCAGTTTCAGTTCAGAGTCCATATTATACTGTATTATCACACACAAACTTGTCAGAGTCTACATGAATGTAACACTCTGCTCGGAACTCTGTATCTTTCACCTCTACACTTTTTTATTGTCAGTACTGACGCCACTGACATCTTTGTCTGGAACTGGCAGATTCATAACTATAAAGATTCATCAGCTATTCTGTCTGGAAAAGTTTCATTAGAGTTGGCTATAACCTGCTATCATCTGTCATTAAAAGAGTCCGAGTATCCATTGCTGCCAGACCCTACACCATCACAAACACACTCAAACTGGTTCTTTTATCAGCGCTAGATATTTTATGGTATGTTCTACCAGGAAGATATGGAAATGAAAATATTTTTAATACATCATAATGTAATTCATTTTTAATAAATGTATCTCATTCTGGCTTTCTATTTTAGAGGGGTGGATTAGTAATCTGAGCACCATAGGCCTAAACTTGCAATTTTTACTCATGCATTTACTTCTGTTGACCCAATAAGATTACTTGCAGGGGCAAGGAATAATCTTGCAGTATCAGATTATGAGGATATGTGTATTATTATGTTAAACCCGTAGCAAAAAGCCAGGCATGAAGAGGTCTGAGAAGCATCCTAGACAGAATCTCAACTACAAAGCAGAGAGACAGAGTAGCTTTAGGGATAATGATTTTGCCTTACTCCAACAAAGTCCCATGTTCTGTGTAAAAAGAAAACAGCTATTTCGGTGAGGCTTCACAATGGTCACATGAGTGAGGTTCTTGGTTTTCTTAGTGCCTGCTCTTAAGAGCTTACACCTTATCTTCCTGTGTGTGGACATTGCTTAGCATGTGATGGGTGCTACTAAAATACAAATAATAAATAACAATAAGGTGTGAAAACACTGACTCCTTGGAACTATAGATTCCAACTCCGGTAGGAGTGAGTGAACTCCTTTGGAGGCAAATAAATTGAACTCCATAAGGTTTATTTTTTGCCTGGGTCTTTTGATGAGACTTAAATCACCAGCATTTTGTCTGTTATGTGAACTTGAACGTTTCCACAGTTCTTAAGAGTAGGGGTCTTTGGTACCATTGGCCAAAATGTCCCCTCTCCATTATGTTATGCAGTGTCAGGTAGCTGCATTTCTGTGGGGCTATATGAATATAATTTGTAAAGCACTTGGGGATCCTGTGATGGGGTGCCCCACTCATGGCTAGTGTAGCGCTTCTTCCTGGCTGCTCTGGGGATTAACTCCGTGAGGTCAACACCCTCTCTCGCCGTTGCCCATTGTTACTCTCTCTCTGTAGTCTGGAGCTCCTCTCTCACTCCAGGAACTGCAGTGTTCTCTTCATGACTCACCCCTCTCGCCAGGTCACTCAGTTTCTCCCCATTTTGGGGTATATTCAGTTCTTTCCTTCAGCAGTCCTAGGCAGTCTTCCCATTCACTGACTCAAGTAGGAGGTTGGTAGGGGAACTTGGGCCTGCTCTCTACTCCGGATTCAAGTCCAGGCACACACAACCCAGTAGTTCTGGGCTTTACTCTCCCAGCTCTCACTGCTCCTTCCCTGGACTGCTGGTTCCCCCTTCTCTGGGAGTACCAGTTCCAAACCCTCCTCCCTCTTCCCAGAGTGTGTCTGCTCTTTCCCAGTAGCAACCCGTCTGTTGCCAACTTCTTGGTTTTATAGGCCCCGCCTATTCCTGCACAGCTGAACCTTATTGCAATCAAATTCCCTGCTCCTTGGCTTTTTTTCTGGTGCAGCCTTTGGAGTTAATAGGCCTACCTGGCCACCTTAACCCCTTCCCGTCTTGTGTGGGGTGGACACCCCAACACAGATTCTTTGGGATAAAAGCTACAGCACAGTATAGGGGGTGACAGGGTGATATAGTGGATAGGGCACTGGACTGGGAGTGAATAGATGTGGATTCTTAATTCAGTTCTGCCACTAATCTGCCATGTGATCGTGTACAAGTCACTTCGCTTCTATGCCCCCCCCCCGACCTTTGTCTATCCACTTAGATTGCAAGTTCTTTGGGGGGAAAGAGACTGTATGTGCGTTTGTACAGAGCCTAGCACAATAGGCTCCATTCTTGGTGGCAGTCTCTAGGTGCTGCTGTAATACAAGCAATAAATAATAATAATATGAAATCATGTTAACAGCACATGAAAATTGGGCTCACTGCGTTGCATTTTTGTGTGCCAAATGCTTACATATTTTTCTAAAAATCTGGGTGTCATACTCACACATGTGATAGTGATGTGAAGTGATAAATTGCACTTTTGACTATCGGAATTAATCACTCTTTCTTGGAATATAGATTAGTTCCAGTGGCTAGTGCACTCCCTCTCCTTGCAGAAGAATAGCTGATGAATCTTTATAGTTATGAATCTGCCAGTTCCACCCCTTCCATAGGGCACCTCTAAATCCCCCCTTCATGTTGAAGCGCAGGAAGCCTCAGATAACTGCCTTCACACATAGAGCTCTGCTTTTGGATCTCCTGCACAGTGCTTAAATTCTGCCACCTATTTTCTACTTGTCTGACTGAATCAGGAGCCTCTGTGTCCCCAGAAGAGGGGGCAAAATTTGGCCCTTCAGAGTCCTGTTCAATCAAATCTCAACGGGTTGCTTTTATATTGAATAAAGCTCTGTATAATTTAAAACTCTGTATGATTAAGTCACTGAAGTGTTTTACAAGGCATATGTAAATGATGCTACAGAAAATAAAAATTATTCTGATAAGGAGTTTTAAAAAGACTAACTTCTTGTAATCCCTTGAAGAGTGGAAATAAAGATGATAGTGAAACATTTATTGCAAAACACAACCAAGAATCTTCCTAAATATTTCAGCTACATTCTTTATCTTATAGGCCCAGAAGGAGAACTGGATGGAGTGAAAGGGCATTAAATCTATTAAGTCTTCAAGGTTAAAAAAGAAGGCTCCTTTAAAAACCAAGAGAGAATATAAGAAAGAAAAAAATAATTTTTCATTTGTACCCGATGTTTTTTTTTTTTTTTAATCTGTTTGCAAATGTTCACTGTAATGGTTTGAAACCCAGTCGTGTCATTTCTTTACGCCCACACAGAGCTGCAGTAGTGCAGACACTGTAACAGGCAAACCATATTACCAGCAACAGCCATTAAAACTCTTCCCACGCCAAGCATGGGCTGAAATCACCCCCACCTCCACACACCCCACTGCAAAACCTTCAATGATCAGTTTAAAAAAAAAAAAGAAAATTGAAAAAGGAAACGGGATGCTTCTTTTGTTTCAGTGCTATTCCAGAGAGACTTGTACCACTCCACCTGCCTATGGACTGACCGCCTAAAGGTTAGCAAGTGCTTTGTTGTTACTTTATGTGGATAGAAATTCTATGCAGAATGAGATAAATCATTAAGTTGTGCTTGTTTTAATGCAGTAATTATTTAAATTCGAGATGAGGGAAGCTTTTCTCCAAAACATAGAGCATTTTAGTACCAGTCCCACGTCTGTCTGAGACAGCTTTATAATCAGTATTTTTACATCTGTTAGTCCAGTCTCCAAAACTTTAAAAGATGGATTAAGGTTATTATTTTACTCTTAGTGCAACCTGTTGATTGCAGATTCTTGGCTGAAGGTTGTTAATTCTTTCCTAGCATAGAAAATGCACAGTGAATTTGATGATGCGACAAAATAAAAATACAAACTCCCTTAATTTTTTTTTGTTGTGCAACTAGAAACGTCCTATTTTTCTGGTCACTATAGAGCTGCCAACAATGTGCAGGAATAACAGATGTATTAAATGTGTTTCCCTTTTGAGAGAAATAAGCTAAGTTTAAAATAGAAGTACAGACATAGAATAATCCAGAGAGTACTGTGTGATTCAGCTGAGATGAGAAGTGGTATAGGAATTAGAGTGGAAAATACTTTGATGTACAAATTATACTGATTGAGAAAAAATTATAAGTCAAAAATAATGTTTTATGTACATATTAAAATATATTTTTAGCTTACAGAGTGTTTATACTGAGGTCAAACCTTTTGGAGGTTTCAAACTTAAAAATACCCAAGAGGAGAAAAAATGAAGAGCACAAATTGATGTACTTCTATTAACCATCAAGATAAATCCTAAATTCTTTGCTGTCATAGGTGGTGTATATTTTTCAGTTGTTATAGAAACTTAAGTCAGCTGCTACATTTTATCTGGAGTATTTTGATCTTACAGGTTTAATTTTCTCTCTTTCATATACTCTGAAAGGATTATAATATTCTGGTGCAATATCCACAAAAAGAAACCACTTATGTAAAACTAAGAAATGGTAGGAGCATATTGTGGAATTAGGAAGGGTAAATTTCCCCCAAATATTCATATACAGTACCTGAAGAGAGACTCTTGCGGTCCCATGACTTCAAAATTAGATAAAGCATGTTTTGTAGCTGCTTTGTATATTACACAACAACTGAGGTAAGGTGTGTGATTTTTAGGGACTATTGATATCACAATGAGCAGGCAGATGTCTCAGGGTCAGACTATGGTTAAAACTAATTCTCCTGGGAAAGATTATCAATATTCCCAAAGATGAGGAGGTTCTAAACCTGGGTCCTGATCCTGCAACAGGCTGAGCACCCTCAACTCTATTAACTTTAGCAGAAGTGCGCAGTCAGCACCCTGGTGCAGGTACTCAGAACTTCACAGGATCAGATCTCTTGAAGAACAACTAAAGAGCTGAAGTCACATACGCACTTTTGTTACGAGGCATTGGGGGATGATTTCAGCTTCAGGGAATGAGGTAAGAATGAGAATAAGTGCCAGACAGAGAAACTGTTTACAGTGAAAAAAGGTATCTTGGGGGAGACTAGCAGTCACTTCTGGGCCAGTGAGAAAGTCCATCAACACCACTGTTACTAATTAGAATTGAAGTGTAGAAGTATATGGAACTTGTACACTCTAAAAACCAATACAGAACCCCCTCCCAAAAAACACCCTTCTATTCTACCAAACAAAATGATATTTGTTGCACCATTAGTAATTAATGTATTACTAATGGTACAATTACTTTTTCATACTGTGTATGAAAATGTAATTGAATACAAGTGTGATCTATTCTCCAGGAAGTCCTTCCAATAAACATTGTCTGGCTATACCGAAAGAAGGATAGGAGGCACTTGATATGGATTTAATTAGGCCACAACTTTATTATATAGATGTGTGGGACTATCCGGCAGATAAAGTGAGCAGTGCAAGCAAATCCATGTTTATTCAGATAACTATTCAGGGCTTCCTCCAGCTGCCCTTCATTTTCCACCCAGGTCCCCTAGCCAACCTGCCCCAAGAACTTAAGGTGCTGGTTGTTGTAAATATAGGTATCATGTTTCACATATGGGACTGACTATGCTAAATACCTGTCTGAAGTATCTGAACATGCCTAGTGGGAACTAGATGATGCCAGAGGCTGAAACATTTCAGACTGAACTGGCTAAATGTGCAGTTAATAAAAGCTACCGTCCTCATAGGTGCTTACTAAATATGACAGTGCCAACTTTCAACTTATAAATCTATTGATGGTTCGGTTTTATGTTTGTACAGTCTCTAGCACAATGGAGTGCCACTGCTGAATGGTTTCCTGCAGAGATGGGTTGGCCCTAACATTTCATAAGAGTACAGCTTGTCACTGCCACTCAAGCACTTGACATGGCATTTCCTTGTGAGAGACGCTGTCATTTATCTCTTATGTGGCCAGAAGTATCTGTGCTGGCAAGGACGAAAATATAAATGTGCTTGTTGAACTGTGTCAGCATTTTGTTTTGTAAATAAATGTGCATTCTTTTAAAACTCAGAAGAGGAAATGTATGAGTTCTCAGAAGACAGATGTACTTTGTCAGTACTAATGTAGAATTTAGCTTTTAAATCAACTCTCTTTGTTCCAAAGACCAGCGTTTTTTTTCCATTTGAAACATCCTGCAACCAGTTTAACTTTTCAAGAGGATTATACAAGGAGTAAAAACCAGAAACAAATAATCCCTCCCTGCCACTAAGTATAGCTGACCTGCAGTTATATGTTAGCCTAGTAAAAGGGTCTTTCATTCAGAACACCGCGGGATGGATTAAGGCCATAAGTAGCATAAAATGGCCTTTAAACAGCCAGAGATTGCAATTGTTTTTTGCAACAGTCAGAAGGCCAGATCCTCAGCTGGTGTAAAATTGGTGTAGCTCTACTGAAGACAGGGCATGAGAATCCTTGGCCAGGAGTATCCCAAATGATTTGTGTTCTGATTTTAGATTAAGGTACATCTTGGGGATGAGCTTTTACATGTTCTTATTGCTCTGGAAGAAGCCAAGATAGTTGGGCGCCATACTTTCAAAACACTATAAATGCAAGGTTTTTTCTGGTGTCTTCCAAGAAACCAAGTAAATTAGTCTTGGTCACAACAAACTGTATATTTCACTAATTAAATTTGAGGTAGCAGAAGAAGCCACATGGTGGCTAAGAAATTAGATGAACTTTTTGTTTCAGTTTGTATATAGGTGGTGCCATTCAGTTGAAAAAAATAAATATGAAAAAAGTAAATCACAGGGAATAATGGACTGAAGCATGATATGTAACCCTCAGTCCAAGATTTTTCTTTTGTCTGATGTATAGTTTTTCAAGTTTGAAATTAAAAGTGTATACAGACCACTGGTTTATATTTACAAACACTAAAATATGGGCCACAGTGAAGTACCAGGAATTGTGAATTAGAGAACAGGATTTGGCCCCATCACTTCTAGTGTACATGTAAAAATGTCCATGGATAATAAATGATGAACAAAAATCATAGAAAGCTAATTATGCATCTGAAAATAACTAAAAGTACAGTTTTTCCTATTCAACTCATTTTCTCTAAACAATTATATGAATAATTTAAAAACCCCTCTTTCTTACTTATTTTTTATATTAACAAGATCTAATGCTTTGTTATGTGCAGGCTTCTTGTATTTGAGAACAGTGACTCAGTGGAATAATTTGGATTGGCATACTGAAAATGACAAATATGAAGTCGGTGTAGTCAGAGGCATTTTCAGGATGGATTTTCTGCTTCTGCAGATTAGAATGAATATTCAGAATTCCATAGTCTTACTCACGTGAAGTGAGTTTGGTAGCACCAGATATTCCTTGGTGGATAACACATTATTTTTATTATTATTTCTATTCTGCTATGTTCATCATTATGAATTATTATAAAAATCATGCTGCCAAATCGTGGACCAGTTAGTGGGAGCTTTGCCACTGACTTCAGTGGGACCAGGATTTGGTCTGAAATGCACATAACTGATCTTGCCTAAAGAGTCCTATACAGGCAGTGGAGGGTTGGTGACATCTAAAAATAGATTGGCTTTTAAAACAAACCAACCAGTCTCTTGCATTTCAAACAGAAAACTAGTGCACTATGCTACGGTGTTCTGGAGAGTGGAATGGGTCAACATGTACATAGGTGTAATGTGCATTGTACCCTTGCTAGCACACTCAGCCATACAGATGGGATAGAATCATAACATTGTAGGAACGGAAGGGACCTCAAGAGGTCATCTAGTCCAGTCTTCTGCACTCATGGCAAGCCTAAGTATTATCTAGACCATCACTGACAGATGTTTGTCTATCTGCTCTTAAAAATCTCCAATACTGATGATTCCACAACCTCCATGTGCAATTTATTCCAGAGCTTAACCACCCTGATAGTTAGGAAGTTTTTCCTAATGTCCAACCTGAACCGCCGTTGCTGCAATTTAAGCCCATTGCTTCTTGTCCTATCCTCAGAGGTTAAGGAGAACAATTTTTCGCCCTGCTTGTACTATATTCTGCACTATGAGCCTGATCCACAGCACAGGGAAGACAGTGGGAGCCTGTCCCTTGATTTTGATCAGGTCTTTGCTGAAGCTTCAGAGTGCTCTGCATGCCTGGGGATGAAGCCTGTATATTTTAATCTTACCCTCAAACACACATTAACAAACATAAGAAGTACCATACAAAATGTGTAGCTAATGATACGTGCTAAACAACTGGTCATTCCATTGCTTTTACTTGTACCCCATCCCCAATCTGTACAATGTTAATTTAAATTGTAAGCTCCTCAGGGATGGCACCTTGCATTTATGTTTATTTTTAAAGGATCTAGCATAATGCTAGCACTATATAAAACTACAAACTATAGACTATCATAAATAATGATGGTTTTAGAGATATTTCCAGTTCCACCAGTATTTTCCATTTTAAAGAAAGGGAATATTGCTGGAGTTGGTAATATTTCTAAAACTGGAATATTCTTTAAATGTACTCAGTGAGAGTAGTAATGATAATCACAGTCCCAAGCAG